GGGAATGGGGCAGTAAGCTATCTTCATCTGAACCTCTCTTAAGGTTTTGTTCCAACTTACAAAAGTTTAGGACCTTGCCAAGCCCACCAGATCTCACCTTTCTCTCAAGTTTGCTCACCGCACACAAGGTTCCATCTTGATCTTTATCTTCACTTTTTTTTCTGCAATCATCCTTTAGCATGTCAATCCCTTTCTGAGTAAGAACTGTAACATCTCCATTTGGAGTTTCTAATAATTACACTACTTGTAAATTTTGGAGACCCATATCACATTAACAACTGTTAACCACTTAATTATCTTAGGTTAGTAAGACTACCCTGGAGTATTTGTCCATGTTAATAATTTTTCTATACAGTCACCTCCTTTTAACACCCAGCAAAACCAAACACCTAGTATCACTTTTCAACCAGCAGAACACGGCTTCTGGATGCCACTGTGAAGTATCACAGTTATATTTCACAATGTTCTTATACCAGGGGGTGAGAGGGCAACACTCCCAAAAAACCAGCTGCTTTGACTAAGGCATCCCTATTTTGATAGCCACCTTTACCCTTATGTGTAGCACTGATGTGAACTCTGAAAATCTGGAAGTTTAACTTTTCTTATGGAGAGAATTAAGTCAAATCACAAATGAAGTAATTCCAAGAAATGCAAAGAGGTTCTGATTTTCAGATACAACCTCTGAACTGGTTTGTTGGAGCATCACAATGAGTAGCCACAATACAAACAGTAGTTTTTTCAAATCAAATTCTAGGTTATTAACCATGAAGCTGATAGGATTTGCAAGTGTTAAGCAGGTCCTGAACCCCTTTTAGGACCTGATCTTGATAAGACTGCTTCTTCAGTACAGATTTAGTATCCACAATTGATAGTATAAAGCATTAAATATAGGCAACTCAACAGAGATTTACATGCTTAACTCATCATTTAAATGCTTAGCTAGACAGAGTCATAACAGATTTAGGGAACCCAGTGGAGGAACCAGGATTCAGCTGCAGGAGCCACAGGCATTCAGGGGAGCTCTGAAGATGCAGAATGCTCATTATGCCACAGAGCTGCTGCATCTGCCAAGTACTGGGCTTGGGGGGAGGCACATGGTAGTAGAAAAGCTCTGCAATTAATTCTTTCCTTCTGGAAATCCACAGCAGTCAAACTGCGCAGGGCAGCTCAGCAAACTGGGTCATTGGGGGAAGACAGAATTTGTTTTCTTCCTTTATCTTGTTGAAATTCAGATCCTCCATATATTAATGAAGTGAAATTATGTTCCTGTATCATATCACCTTCTACAAATGCTAGTAGAAATGCCTTTTCTTCCTGAGTTGCCAGACTGAGGGTGGTTGATGCTCCTCTCTGACCATTTCTCTGTGTGGATTGTGCACAGTAATATCCAATGTGCTTAACCTTAACCATCTGCATTATGAATGTATCAGGATTATTATCAGAGATTAGTCATTTAAAAAAAAAAACCATAAATAAGGTTTTAGTTGCTGGGAGAGATAAAATAGCCTGTACAACTGATTCTCTTTGTCAAAGCTTTCTTTTTTTCTGGCAGAAATATTTCAGGTCCTTTAAGGTAACACTTGCAACTGGAGCCAAATAAAAACCTTCCACTAACAACACACAGCAATGTCAAGGCTAAATTTAAGTTACCACAGTGGGCTGGGGGAAGGTTTAAAGCAATGTCCATTACACAGTAGCAGCTTACAAACCACATCTTGAATTAAATAAAACCTAAACATGTCCTTCTGAGAAAACTGAGTACAGAAGGCTCTGTGTGTAACTCAGGAAGAGTCACTGGGCTTTCACACTGACTTTGCAAGTGTGATTATAATAGGCAGATGATCAGAGGCCAGCTCCCAGGCACATGACAGGAATGGGAAATAGTCAAGTGAAGAAGCTGTCATTAAAGTGAGTGATGGAAATATTTAAAAGGAAAAAATGTTGAAGAGCAGAGCATCATTCACTAGTGCTGCATCCACTAATACCTTCTAACAACATAGCACAGTCAACAAACCATACTCCTGGGACCAACAACAATGTGTATGAGCTTAACATCCACACTTTGAACTCTCTGCAAGGTCTCAAGGCACAGGAACTCAAATTTTACATCACCATCATAACCGAAGTAATGATCTAGCCTTGAGCCTCATTCATATAGTTTTTCTGATATTGCAAGGTTATCTAGCCATGGCTTAGAAAAAGTGAGAGATTTTATTTTGCAGAACTTAGTACAGACATAGTCTCATTCACTTCAAAGTTGCAAGCACGATCAGACAACTTGTAGTCAATGTCTCACTACTCCTTCACTGTATTAGAAACTTATCTGCTAACACGTGCTGATTATCTCCTTCCTAGCCTCTATTGCTCATATTTAAGTCTGAAAAGCTGCACTATCACAGTACAACTAGCAATTACAGAAATGCACAAAGGACAACTTCTTTTGCTTAAGTTTCATGTAAAACATGGAACAGAATCCCAGGGAAGGAGTAAGTGGTCTAACAGCAGCATGTCTCAATCAAACACAAGGCTACAAAATACAGGGGTATTAAATATTTCAAAAGAAGGAATCTTCCCAGGCACAACTGCAGCCTCTATATATGGTATAAAGGTGAAGTGATGGCCTGTACCACTACAGATCACTGCTACATGATATGTATATACAAGTCGCTTTGAGAACATCATGCCACCTACTGCTGTGTCATCTCAAGAAGGATTATAACTTTGATTCTTGCTGTTAGTAACATTTATCCATGTGGAAACTTGGATGCTTTTACTCCGTTGCCTTTCCCGGACATAAGTGCAAGAGAACAGTACACGGAAGATCTGATCCTCCATGTTTTATGTATGCCTAAGCATAAAAGACTTTATGACTGCTAGAGCAGGCCTTGCAGATCTTTGATTTATTGACCTGAGGAACAATAACTCATATCAGGTGGTTTACATTCTGCAGTTTTGTAAGTGTGTTGTTTCTCATTAATACAGAGAAACCAACAAAATAATCCACTCACTAACACTGATATTCCTTCTTTCTTGCAGTTTAAAGACATTGGTCTTTTTGAAACAGTCTGGCAAGTCAAATTCTACAACTACCACAAACGAGATCATTGCCAATGGGGAAACAGTTTTGGTAGCATTGAGTATGAATGCAAACCAAATGAAACACGCAGTCTTATGTGGATCAATAAAGAGACCTTCCACTGAAGAGATGTGAAACCAATACTGCTGGACAATCCCCCTGAATAAAAAAAAAAAAAAAAATCTACCTTTTTAAACCAGCAAGAAGCCTTAATAAAGGCATACTCTAACGTTGCTTTGTTCCATAAGATTCCAACAACTACGTTGTATTTCCAGGTGGTGCCACTAAAATCTTTGCCTATTACTGTATTTTAAGTTTACCATGGCATCTGCAACATTCTTTATCTGTCATCTTGAGAATACTGTAAAGTTCATGGTAAAGAATATTTGATAGCTGGGTAGAAAGTCATATCATCGTAATACTGTCATAAGTATTTGGATTATGCCCACTGAATAGTTCCACTAGATGTAACAACTTTTGTGAAGTGTTTTGCTTTATTGTTTAGAATTTGGATGCAACATCACATTGGTGATTTCTGTATTTATATTTGTGTTTGCTCCTAAATCGGTGTGCTTTCTCAAGCATTTTGCCATATATGTCATCCCAGCAGACAGCAAAAAGTGTGAATTATGGTTATTTGTAGGTTGAGCTAAATGGCATCTTACTGCACTGTTGCTATTGTGCTGTCATAACACAGGATTTGGAAAAAAATATATTCTGTGAGGTTTGCTAATTTAGCAAATCTCTCAAAATAAGATTGTCACTGAGTTTCCTAGTCTCTGAAATTGCTTTAGGCAACGGTATAAAACGTGCTACCCTGAATGAAGGAAAAGCAATAAATAAGTTGTGGCTATCAAAGACATCTAACAACATGGCTAATATCTCTGTTAAGACCATATAGTATTCTTGAAAGATATAGCAGCCATACTTAATTTAGTTCTTAGGAGTAAGAGTTCTGATAGCAATCTCCATTTTTGTTTTAATGACACATTGCTCAAACCAGTGAAACCCTACAAATCAATTTCCTTAAGCCTGACCACTGTATTATACCAAAATTGACAGGATTTCTGACCAACAAACACTCAGCAGTGTGAAGAGTGCAGATCCCAGTGCATGTTTATACATGTATTGCACTCTTTCAAATAAAGATAAGCATGTAAGCATTTGTACAGTTATGACTAAAGGTGCTACATAAACACTAGATCAGTGTTTAACACATACAGACAACAAAAACAAAACATATTTTCTTTCAGTAAATAAAGCAGGGAAATAACTACTGTCCCATCCCCAACTTGGGCTGAAGTAAGCTGTCAGTTCTTGCATATCTGTTATTCCCTTTGTGAATAATTTGTAAATTGTGTATGTAAATGTTAACCATGACTTTTGATCTTTGTAATAAAGAACTTAATTTCTTCTCTAGTATGACCATCTAAATGAGTTGAAAATACTGTATCAAAAAGGCAGTGGTTTTAGAAAGTCAGACAGCAAAGGGTACTTAGCCAGTGCTTTCTAAGAATCCAGTCGGGGGTACCTCATGCTCTTTAACCAGAGCTACTGTTTCTAGGAAACACAGATCTGGTGTGCTAGAATGCAGTTAATGCAATAACACTCAGTAGAGCTTGTTGATAAAATTCAACTGCATTTTCTTGCACTAAAATAGTGTAGAAAGTAGAGGTTTAGGAAAGAAGTGAAATACCAAAGAAATATTTTCTTCCACTGAATTATTTATCAGAAAGCTTGCCTGTTTGCAGATTTCTACAGACAGAAGAGCCGGACAGTAGCAGTGATATAATACACCACTGGAACAGTGACCTAGCCAGCTGCATCTCTTCTCAGAGGCAACATTACACAGGCCAATTTCACTGTGATGAAATTCTAGATATAATCTTCTGCATTAACTTATTTCCTAGACTACAGAAAGAATTATTCAAAATTAAAAAGCTGAACTGAGCAAATTCAAATGAAATCTGTACTTCAGACAGAAGTGTTATTACCAGCACTTTAGCAGAATGTTCCAGCTAACAGGCTTCAATGATACCAAACTTCCAGCTGTCAATCAATTATATCTCTGTACTACTAGAAAGTGATTTTATTCTGCAACAATTGGCATACATTGGTTTATTTTGTTTGTACATATGAACTGAAAGCACATCAGCAAAAAATGTGTGATACACAAGTTAACAGAGAAACTTCTGTCCTAGTAAAATTAAAATGCCCAAGACAGCCTTCACTTTGAGTTCAGCTTCTATGATATTCTTGGCCCACAATGTCCCAGCCCACCAGCATTTAAGAAATGCTACAATCAATAAATACAGCCTCTCCTGGCACAAGAGGGCTGTCATTCTCAACTAGCTGGAAGCACACCCTTCCCAAGGTAAATACTCATGTTCATATTAATGCCAAAGAGGGTAGCAATTTTCTCACGTCCTAGCAAGCCCCGGAGCAATTCAGCTGAAATTCAGTTCAGAGGGTAGTCAAGAAAGAGCCTGCAGATGGAGTGAGTTGCTTTTAGAAGGTAGGAGAGAACAGCCAGATAAATCGTGGCTTGCAGGCTCCATATGCTGATACTGAACATTGCTGCCCAGGACCATAGCACCCCTTTCACAGACAGTGGCAATGATAAAAAGGATGAGGACTGGTGAACAGCTTATCATGGGGAAGGTGTAAATGGTATTTACAGCTCTTATATCCTTCTCCTCTAGAAGAGGTTTAAACATACACAACTGTGGCGTGATTGCCTTACACTATTCCTAAACAGAAGATTATTTGTGTGGTATTTGTTGTATATCCATACCATCAGCACTGAGACTCTGAACATGTAAAGCAAAACAGTCCCCTTGCTCAACAAGCACTTTGCTAACAAAGCAAAAATTTGCTCCTAGTAAAGGAAACACAAGACTTCAGCAGTTCCTGGAAAATGATGTTTTGAATTTCTTTCATCCAGGACAACCCTGGTAAACATTCATAAAGCTTGAGTCCTAAAAAACTGTTGCTGTGACAGTTTGATTCATTATACAATCAGCAGCATTTAATCTCCAGACAAGCTTGCTCTTTACACACCTTTTTTTAATTAGTATTTCCATTTTTGGGCAGAACTCCACAATTCAGAACAGGACACAATATATTAAACCTAAAGATATATTTATTTTTAGTCATTACAATGTCAGAAAATGCTGACAGTGTGTCAATCTAGCTGAAAACACAAAGCACTCATATCTGAAGGTCTTATACACAAGACATTTCAAGACTTTTCTCATAAGGTATCCAGCTTTCAATTTCATAAGAAAGATTGAAACATACACCAAATCTTTCAAGTCGCTTTTCCACGTATATTTAGGTAGCAGTTACCACTTTCAGACTGCTGAGCAAAAGGATCCAAGAGCAAGTTATTAGTCACAATCATTACAGCTGTGATCCTGCATAGGGCTTGCATTAGATCATTAGCACAAGGCTCGTGTTTAGTACAGCTACTACAGGCTTTGGCATCTCCTACTATCTGATTGTATCTGAAAAAGAAATAATACTGCTAAAGTCTCCATGCCCTACTAACACAAGTTATGGACGTTTCACTGGCTCCAGCTGAGGCTCTATCCATTGGCCTGCAGATGCAGAGTGACCCTTAGTGATTCCAGACTAGCAGAGCATCAGAAAACCTAATTTATTACAATCTTCCTATAAAAGATGTGAATGTAACTTCTGTACAACAAAGCTGTAAATTCTGTATTACCAGGCTTTTACATGCCAACAGAGGTTGGTTTCCATTTGGTTAAGAGCACCTGCCTCACTTGCTGTGTAAAATTTTGACACATGCTACATTGAACAGTTCTATTCTTCCAGAGTCTCTGTGTAAAGCTTTAGTTAAATAAAGATGTGGCACACTGTAAATGCTGACCTCTTTGTAAGATCTGAAACAAGTGCTGTGGGCTTTCAGAATTCAAACTGTTGAGCATTGACGTAATAGCTGTGTCAACCCCAAAGCACAAAGCAGCAGTATAATGAATCTTACAACATTCATCTTTTCCCTTAGTTCTGCAAAGCTCACAAGAAATGATTGGAAAGTCCCCTTAGTGCAGCTAATCCAGATCTTTGGCTAAGAGAGACAGGCACTCCTGCCCACAGGCCTTCCCTGCTACATGCTTGGCAGCTTTCGCCAGCGTTCCCTGGACTGCTTCCTTTTCTCCTCTCCCTGAGACCAACACTTAAGGCTTCAAAAATCCCTGTGAGTCTTGGGCTTTCAGCCTTAGGAAGACAAGGCTGCATCAACCCAGGAATAGCCAAACCAGTCCTCCCTGCATTGTTTTCTCAGTCCCTACCTTGAAGCTGTTGATTATTCCTCTTATTAGTTGACACAGCAAAATTCCGTGCAATCAGGAAGGATAATCCCATGACTGACCTTATATATTGTGTATAACCTTCTCTCCCTCTTCCTGCAGAAGAAATTCAAAGGGATTCCAACTGTATCCCAACTACAAATAAGAAGAAAATGATCAGCTACCAGCTAAAAAAATAAAGAAGTGAAGTTAGACTACCAAAAAGCACTGCTGATGGTCAGTGGTGGAGGTCCTGCAGCATCTGCCATTACAGTGCTGGAGAACTCTGACAACTACATACATTGTTTCCACAGTGCTCTAGCACTCACTGAATTTCTCTGTATAAGATACACACAAGTGAAGGATCATAAGCTTTTGTGAATTCTCCCACTGCAAGCATTGGAGTCTGTAATCTTTTGACTTGCAATGAGTTGCTCCACTCAGGCATGAGTACATAGATACAAACAAATCTCCACTGGAGACAAGGCTTAAAAGCAATGACAGCTTTTCCATCAACATTGATGACAAAAATCTTAAATTAGAAAATATTTCATAACAGCACATCTGCATTGACCAAGTGTAAGGCTTTGATATCCTGTTTTTCCTCATCCGGAAAAACTTGAGACTGAGACAGTGCTGCCATATACAAGTGCTTCCTATGCTATTAAGGCCTTTGTTTCCCTCCCCCAGAGAGCAGACACTCGTACTGCCTTTATTCCAAATAGCGAGGAACAGCCTGGTATCCCATCCAGTAACTTCTGCAGCCTTTGAACAGTCCTGAGAGAAGCAATAATCAACTATCAGTAGATGATGAT